TATTTATAAAATGGTAAATGATTGATTATATTAATATTTATATATATTTTGATCATGATGCAGCATAGTGTGTGGCTTGAAGATGCATTTGATAGAGCAAGACAATTATATTTATCATATTATCGCTCTATTCCCAAAAGCTTGGAACGTTCAACTGCTCACAAACTCATGATAGCAATGTTGGATGAAGACGAACGATTTGTGGAGCCCACACCAAATTCTTTACAAAATTTAACATTACAAACTGTAAAAGATGCAGTAATGAGTCAGTTTGTCAGTGATAACATGGAGGTACAGTGCGCTTATTTGTTTATAATTTCATTTCATAAACTGTAACAATTGTCTAATTCACTATTAGTTATTTATATATAAATAATAGGTGAGCATCGTGGGAGATTTTTCGGAAGATGATATTGAGGCTTGTGTGATGGATTACTTGGGTACAATTAAGGCAAAAAGAGGAGCTGAAAAGGCTCTGGAGTATACCCCGGTTGTTTTCAGACCATCTCCTAATGATTTGCACTTTCAGCAAGTGAGCAAAAATGCAAAATTTTATTTTATTTGTGTAATTAGTTTGGAATAATTGTATAAATATTTGGGGTTTTTTTTTTGTACTTGATAATAGGTGTTCTTGAAGGACACTGATGAGAGAGCATGTGCATACATTGCGGGCCCCGCACCGAACCGGTGGGGATACACGGTTGATGGAACCGACCTTCTTGACTCCATAAGTAATGGTAAGCTTTTTGCAAATTGCATTATATAAATAATTATTTCATTTTTTATATATCTCACATGTGAAAAATATCTGTAAAACTAGAAACCCAAGGGCAGATTGTGAAGACAGAGAACCTGAATTTTGACCTAGAAAAGAGATCACGGAATCACCCGTTGTTTTTTGCAATTTCTGTGGGGCTGTTAGCTGAGATTATTAATTCCAGGTAATTCTGGCCATAAAATTGTATTTTATTTTTTTAATTGTTGTTAATAAATTCTGATGTTTTGTTTCACAGGCTTTTCACAGAAGTTAGAGACTCACAAGGGTTAACATATGATGTGTCTTTCGAGTTAAACCTGTTTGACCGGTTGACTCTCGGTTGGTATGTTATCTCTGTCACATCTACACCTGGCAAGGTGAGTCAACTCAGTTTACAAGTAGTACTTGAGAGAAAATATTCTTTTTTTTAGTTTTTTAACCTGTTAAGAGTCTAATTTCAGGTGCATAGAGCGGTTGATGCTTGTAAGAGTGTCTTACGAGGCTTACATAGCAAAAAGATAGGCGATCATGAACTGGACAGGGTTTGTTCTTATATTATTTGAAGTCCATACATAATACACAACGTGTTTTGATGTTAGTTTTTAAAATTACGGATTTGACCCTTGAGGTGTTGTTTTGTATCCTGTTGATTGACTCTGACAGGCTAAACGGACCTTGCTGATGAAACATGAAGCTGAAAGTAAGTCGAATGCGTATTGGCTTGGGTTGATAGCTCATTTGCAGGCTGCTTCTGTCCATAGAAAGGTGATATTATCTTATTATTAATTGACAAAAGAATAAAAAGACTATTTTACCCTTTTAAAGTCAAAGTCAAAAACAAACCCTTGATCATATTTTATAACTTTATCTTGCAGGATATATCATGCATTAAAGATTTGACAATGCTATATGAAGCTGCAACGATTGAAGATGTGTACTTGGCTTATGAACAGTTGAAAATTGATGAGCAATCTCTGTACTGTTGCATTGGTGTTGCTGGTGCTCAGGCTGGTGATGATGTTTCAGGTACTTTTTTTTTTCTTTATGCTATTAAAAAAAAAAAAAGTTTGTAATTTATGATATGATGTGCAGGTTCTTCACAAGAGGAAGAATATGTTGTTGGAGGTATTCCTGGTGTTATTCCTGTGGGAAGAGGTTCCCACATGATGACAATGCCAACAACATAATTATCATTAAAAGACGGGAATGCCCTCATTGTCATCAGTATTCATCTGCATAAGAGGGGATTTATGTAAACAATAAGTCTCATTCTCGAATCAAATAGCCTCTAATTGCAGGAAAAACTTGTGTATTCTTCTTCTAGTTCAGTCATATAGTTGTTAGCTAATAATGTACATGTACTTTGTTAAATAAAGACAGCCGATAGTTTCTTCACACGTTTTGGTTTGTTTTGCGCTTCAGGTGTATGGATTATTATTGCATGGTCATATAGATGATTTATGAATGAGGGTTAATGAAAGAAATTACATTTTTATGTTGATTTGTTTTTTTTATTTTCTATCTTATTACAACTTTGTATTTTAAAAATTCTAAATAATCATAGGCTTGTGATCCAAATACAAATTTATTTTAATTGCTACAATTTGACAGATCTTTTTCAAAGTATGGTTTTATAAGAAAAAAGTTTACAATACAATCCAATATACTTGTAATGTAAAATCCTATTGCTGTGGGTGGTTTCCACCATTTGATGTTATGTCATGTGATCCATCATGCGACTGGTAAATACAGTTTAGACTAAATTGCCTAAATATAGTCTGGTAAATCGCGGGAATAGTCGCTTACATCGCCAAATATGACATTGTACTTTACACCCAATGTTACCCAATAAGGCAATGTGGCAATGTGGTTACCTGCCAAAAACATGTTATTAATTGCCTATGTAAATTAGAGACAAGTATACAACATGCATTCAACATAAGATGTAAAGTAAAAGTCAAAGTAACGAGTGTTGGAATACATTCACCACAGTTCAAACTAGCCATAACAACGTAGTATGCCTTTATATATAATTGGCTAATTCAACCAAAAAAGGATATTCAAAAACTTAACCAATAAGGGCTACAACATCATTTGCCTAAGATTGTATCCCTCAAAACCTTACGAACCTATGTTAATTGGAATGGTAGTTAATCATCCACTACCATCTTTGAGAATGACACGTTTCTTTAGCTTCTACATAATGATCCTCTTAAAAGGCCTTCTTTTCCTGGATTTGTCCAAACAACTAAGCCTATCACCCTCATCATCAGCAAAATACCCAAATCCATCTCTACCCTCATTTCCTTCATCCTTGTCGCCAACCACCTCGTCTATAATATCTTATTCTATACTTGGATGATCATCATTTAACATCATGTTATAAACATAGTAAGTAAAATGGTGTTTATAAACTAATTGATGCCTAGTGGGTGGGATATTTTATATAAAAAAAGGAATATGACCAAGGGAAAAGTAAACAACTTGATTAGATCAAGGATAAAGTACATAAACACCATCAAGATTAACCAAATTAATGAATATTGATGTTAATAGTCAACATCACCACACTAGCAAAAATCAAGAATCGACTCCTTTCATGTATGACCGCTCATATTCAGCTCACAAGTTATTGTAAGTTCATTATTCAAAAGATGATTCGCTAGTACAACTTGGAACCATATATATATATATATATATATATATATATATATATATATATATATATATATATATATATATATATATATATATATATATATATATATAAAAGGAACATAACTCTTGGTCCTTGGAAAATTAAAAGACTAAAGAAAGATCAAAAGTTGGAAAACAATTAAAGTACTATTAAATACTTGTTAATTAATTATTAATAGGATGACTAGGAAGACTCTTCCAATCCTTTGGAATGCCAAAAAATTACACTTCTCCTTTTAAGTGTTTTGAACCCAAAATAATCAAGTCCAATGTAAGCCCAAGACATGAAATGGGCTAGTCTTGTACTAGCTAAAACTAACATGGATGCCCTTGCATCAACCTCTTCTGGTTGGGATGGATTTTCTCTCAAATCAACCTCTTCAACCATCTTCAAGATAAGGAGAAAGATCTCCAACATTAAAACTTGATGATATGTTTGAATCCAACTCTAGTTTGTAAGCATTATCTCCAATCCTTTCCAACACCTTAAATGGTCCATCTCCTATTGCACTCTTGCCCCAGTAAGCATGACATGTCTTCTTGAGAGGGCATCTGCAACAATGTTAGAACTTGTTTTATACTTTGAAACAAAGTTAAATGATTGGAGAAATTTTATCGATTTTGCATGTCTTGGGTTCAACTCTTTCGGCCATTTATATGCTTTAAAGCTTGATGATCAGAATGTAGAACAAACTACTTAGGCCTGAGTAATGACTCCAATGATCCAGAGCATGCACAAGAGTATACAACTCCTTGCCATTCGTACTATAATTCTTCTTTGATTCATTCAATTTCTCATTGAAATAAGCTATAGGGTGTTTATTTTGTGCCAAGACAACCCTTATACCAATCGCGCTTGCATCACATTCAACCTCAAATAACTAATTGAAATATGGAAGGGTCAAGATAGGAGACGTGTACAAACAATCTTTGATTTTCTCGAATGCATTATGGGTAGATTAAGATCATTCAAAGGAGCCTTGTTTGATACAATCTTAAAAACACAATACCTAGCTTAAAGTACTTGTTCTATGCACTTACCATAAGCAGTATTTAGGTTGAAATGTGTGTTTATTCAACAAATTGACCACATCTTGGTACGCAAGTGAAAATGTGAGAAAAACAAAGCTTGACATACGAAATAGATGGACAGTCTCAAGAAGCTCGATACGATGAAGAAGAAGGACAAGATGAAATGGTCACACTTGCATGTGGATTACTTGCTAACGTAGTCATACATCATGGTTTAGTAGATGGAAGAAGCTTTGGCTGAAAATATAGTTATCCCTAACATCTAGCATTTGTGTTTACTTAATATAACATGATGCTATATTTGTTCCAGTTAATACAATATGATGCCATTTTCAAGCTTATAGTTTGGTGGGAGTCAATGGGATACTTAAGGCAGTGCTACTTCCATCCTCCTCTCACGAGTCTCATGTGACATGAGGGTCCTGTTGAAACTGAATGCAATGTTGAGGTTGAGGTGGTATGGACAAAACAAAACAAATGTTATATTGCGTTTGACATACATTGAACTCAAACGTATCCATTCTACTTTAGTCAACAAAACAATACTCTGTTTCCTCACCAAAAAAACTCACCCCTTCCATTCTACAACAATTTTAGATGTCACATATCGATGCATATAACTTACAGACCATAGAAAACGTTTCAAAATTGTATAAAAAAACACAGGCTACACAAAATTACGTTCACGCCCCCGCTCCATTACTTAATTGTAACGTCATCCGAATATTCATAGCCGCCAATTCCGCAGCCAAATACCTAAACACATACGGCATAGCAACCGTCTCCATACCTTTACTTGTCCCACAATTAACACATATAACTTTCTTCGGAACCCTGCCAGGTGGCAGCCCAGCAATCTCCCTCATTGCCTTTTTCTGATGCTGAATCAGCGATGTTGTCAGAATACTCCCACAAATTGAACACACATCAGCAATATGATGATCAGAACTTGTGTGAAGCCTATCATGTAACAAATAAGCCGCTCCATGAGCAAGAAGAGAATCCCTTTCCATTTCACCAAACCGAATCCCACCTCCTTTCTTCCTCCCCTTTATCGGTTGCCTCGTAACCTGGTCAACCGTTCCCGTTGACCTAACCTAAAACACACACAAGTGAGAAACGACGTTATTTATCTAGCAAATGTTGGAATCGGAATTGGAGATTCCATTACGTTACCTGAAACTTGTCGGAAACCATATGCCGGAGCCGTTGGTAATAAACCGGACCGATGAAAATCTCGCAAGTCAATTCCGTCCCATAAACTCCACTATACAAAACTTCCGTACCATAAAAATTAAACCCACGGGAAGTCAACATTGACCCGAGTTCATTAACGAGAGAATCTTCTTCATTTTCTAGGGTTCCATCTGGTTTTTTAACTGAGCTAGAAAACGGCGTTGCATCTACAAATTTTCCATGTAAAGAGCCTCCTTTTGCAGCTATGGATTCTAGAAGCATTGCAATTGTCATTCTAGAAGGAAATGCATGAGGATTTATGATTAAATCGGGTCGCATTCCTGTAACTCCTGAAAATGGCATATCGATATCGGGCCATAATTGTGAGCATACACCTTTTTGACCGTGTCTACTGCTGAATTTATCACCAATTACAGGGTTTCTGCCACGTCTTAATCGTATGTTTGCCTGTTTGATTATATATGATTTTGATAATTAATGGACTTTTTTTATGAAACAAATGAATAAGTTGAATATTGTTACATACCTTTTGTAATTGTTTTTTGTTTTTGACATCGATTGCAACATAATCGACTGTGACAGGTTCTGACCCTTTTAATTTTTGGTTGAATGAAGTACTTGTGACTTCGTTGTACATGCTGTAATATGGTTCGCCTGGTTTTATTTTCTGAAAGTTGGTAGGGTGGTTGACTAGTCAACATTCTATAGAGATAGAATATATTAGAGAAAAGTAGAGATTCAAACAGAAGAAGAAGAACCTGGCCAACGTATGGGAGTCCATCTGAATCGATGAATGAATGTGATTTTTTATCTAAATTGCTTCTTCTGAATACTCTATTGGCACGATTTGATTTGTTCTTCTCATCAGCCAAATCAATGGATTCAGTCTGTATTATGTAAACAGTATCCCTCATATTAGCACAAACTTGGTTTCATATTAGCACAAAATCAAAATTAGCAACATCTATATATATAATATAGAGCATAGAGATAGGATTTATTTACCTGATAAATGTGTCCATGAGCAAATCCACGATCAACAGATGATTTATTTAAAACCATAGCATCTTCCATATCATATCTGATGCATGATAATGATGATATGAATCACACCATGAAAAAAGATAATTAAATTGTTTTTGAAAACAAAAGAATTACCCTGAATAAGCCAACACTGCAACAATTGCATTTGTTCCTAATGGAGAGTCATCAATCCTATACTTTTCATATGTAGCAGTGCGAACTATCGGAGCTTGAGGAGTCTGCAATAACCAATTTATATAAAGAGAATCCTTTTTTTAAATTAAAAAAAAAAAAAAGCATAAAACTGTTGAAAGAAAAAGACAAACCTGAAGGTGATAAAGCTTTTGATCTGCACGACAATTGATTCCTTGTGAAGAGAACCCCATTGTTTGTTTTGCCATCTGCCCAAGATTTCACAATCTTTTTAACCACTAAAACAATAATACATCAAAAAGTTATTTTTTTTTTTAAATAAATAAATAAAGACCTGACACTGGTACATATTTCTTGGACTCTGATTATGATCAGACCAAGGGGTAAGATTGCCAACAACACTAAGTATTCCAGTTGGATGAATTTCTTCATGAGTAGCAGGAAACTCCTTTAATCTTCCACCATTTCCTCCATCTGGACACTCTATCTCCATATACACCTACCAACAAACACACAATATTCTCATTTTCTTAAAAACAAAGATTTCTGTTTCTTGACCATGTAAATATAATTATATATTTACCTGTTCAAAGGGACCAATCAGTTCAATATTATTGTTTTTTTCCTCTGGAAACTTCTGTTTAACAGGGCGTACAAATCTTGAAGGACTTGTAAACAGATAAAGACCAGGGAAGGCGCCCCCCATGCTAATAGGTACATACCCCACCTCCAGATCTTCAGGGATCTGTTTTTAATTATATAAACTTTTTAAGTCACTTTTATAAAAAAAGAAGAAAGAAAGTGAAAGAAGCAAACCGCTGAAGCTGCTGATAGTTTTAATTTTCGTAAATGGTTGACAGCTTTTTCAACTCTATCAGTGGGAATAGCACCAACAACACGCCCATCAAGTAGAACATGAAGAATTTCAGGAGGACCAGCTTTGACAAGTTTGGGAATTGCAGGGGTCATACCCGCTCCAACCAGAACACATAGGATAGATTTGTTTATTTTTGAGAAATCTCTGATTATTCCTTCTGAGTCATAATACGAGGTGATACCTATAATTCGTTATCATTGACAGAGAACAATAGCCTATTAGCATCAACAATATAATGCATTTAGAAATAGGAATGTAGTTCATTTATTTCTTTTACATTTTTTAAATTCTAAATATAAAAAAAAACATCAAAAAAATGTGTGAACTTACGACATGAGGCAGTCAAATGATTCAGCAGTCCACATGGAGAGCCATCTGGCGTGTGAACAGGGCATACAAAACCCCATGACCTGTAAATAAGTAGAGAAAAAAAAGAGCATACAGACACAGTAAGAAAGAAAAATATATATAAAAAAATAAAAAAAAAGATTTATATTTAAATTTAAATTTAAATTACGTACTCTGGCAACAATTTACGCACACTTGTAGTACGAAGTCCTGCAAGTGATGAGCCTCTATGAACAGCTCTAAAATGTGACAAAAAACGGAGGAAATTCAGCCTTTCTGCTTGAACTGTCATACCAGCTTTCTAGAAAACAAATGTGATTACCCAAAGTTAAAATTTTTAAACAATTTATACAAGATTTATTAAAGAAATGAGTACCTCTTTCAGATCAAGAGTTGACTGTGTAACCAATCTTCCAGTCTTCAACATATTTTCAACAGCTGAACCGACTTGTTTTGCAGGATTCTTATCCAATGCCTTCTTCACATCAGCTACTGAAATAATTAAAAACAAGAATTTAGATCAACAATGTTTTAACATCTAGAGTTTGAGTAAAGCTATAGAGTGACATGGAATGGAACATACAGCTTCCAAACTCAAAGTTTTTCTTTCTGTTATCAGCATCATCTTGAAGTAGTTTTTTAGCTTTTAGCAGCCATTCCTGGAGCTTTTCCTGAAAATGAGCAGAAAAGATTGTCTACTCTTCCATATTTTCAAAATGTATGTATGCTTAAATAAATGTAGTTGATTTTTACCTTAACATATATTGTAACCAAGTGACCTGGCAGAAGAACTTCCTGAGTTTGCAATGAATCAGGATTGTCTGGTATAGATGTCTGATCAATAAAAGAGAAAAGTTTCTGCACCATAAAGCTGGAAACAAAAAAAAAACAACATATGTCAGAACTTTCAAAGCCAAGAAATTCAAAACTCTTACCATATAAAGTGAATAATCTATAAAATGAGATTGAGATTGGCTCACATTAGCAGATTAAATTTATCATGATTGTTATCAAGATGAACCAATATGAATTCTCTTAGAACAGCATCAGCAACCTACAAAACGAAAGAAGTTTTTTTTTAAAAAAAAGGTTAAAAAAGAGAAAGTAAGATTGCAAAACTGATAAAAGATGTAAAGATTTATATACACTTACAGCAGAGTGACTTTCGTTTTCCATACCATCCATAAAAGGTTTGAAATACTCTCCTGAATAAAGATGTGAAAAGAAGAATGGAGTTTATTTGGTTGACTTTGAGTTGACTATTAAGTAAGAATAGTGAAAAAAAAAGGGTGATGACAGATTATAATTACCAATATACTGCAAGCATTGGATGCGAGTAAATAAATTCAAGTCTCTAACTTCATTAAGAATAATCTTTGCCCTTTCACTCAAAATCTGAGTACCAACACAGCCCATTGCTTTCTCGTATTTTTCATTGTAGACAGATGTCAAACTCATAAAAACTTCATGATCAGTAGTATCAATAAGTGCCTATTGAAATTTAACAAGATAACACATGTGTTACATACAAATCATGTCAAAAGAGCAAGATATTGGATAAATATGTACATTAAAGTACCTTCAAAACTAGACCTATGGGTAACAAGTTTTCTCTCCCTCGTATCCTACAAATGTTACAAAAACAGTCAGCTGTAATTATTTAAAGTAACCAAACACTTTTACTAGACTATAAATTATTAATTACCTAAACCCGACCCTTGCACTCCCATTGCTAATATAATATAAGTTGAGAGTCACAGCTGATTGGTCTTCTCTAACACATCTGAGAAGGTAACAGAAAGAACAAATCAACAACTATATTCTAAACCTAGAAAAAGAATGGAGAAACCTAGAAGTAGTTACTCTTGTGTTCTAAAAATAATAACCTTATCACCACAGCTTTATCAGTGAACCCTTCTCTTCGGTTTTTAAATGCACTTCTGACCATACTAGTTGGCTGCAAATATGGACATTGATGATTAAAAAAAGTGGACAATAAAAAAGTCAAAACAAAGAAGTGGGGAGCAAATATCTATGCAATGTTACAATTCTTATTTTGGCTGAGATCATTATCAATTCTTTTAAAGATTGCAATAACTTCTGTACAGTATACAGAACAACTTACATAGTTTCTTTTTGGCACAACTAATAGCCTGACAACTCTTTCAAGTCCATTTAATACAAAGTACCTACATAAGAAATAAGAATTGAATAATTGAAGAATTGAAGTCCCTGTATATGACATAAAAAAATTAGTAAACCATAAAAATTACTCACCCTCCCATTTCTGATGGTTCTTCATTACAAGACACCAGTTTTTGAGGGTCAGCATCTTTAAGGTGACAAAGTTTTGACTGCAAAAAGGTTCTTGAAATGATGAGTAATAACAAGAAACAATGAAGGGACATTGTTTACATTCAACATAACAGGTAAATAGATGTCCAAAATTAAATTTTTTGTGACATAGAGTCTCTTATACCAAAATAAAATAAAGATCAATGAAGAGATATTGCTTACCTTTAACATAACAGGTAACTGTCCAAAATTAAATTTTTCTCTTATAACAGCTCCACCAGGGCCATCACCATATTTGAAGCAAACATCTACCAAAAATTTACCAGTATAGGAAATCTTGGCCTGTCTACACTGTAGTATGAAGATACAGATAATCCAATAAGTTTATGTATTTTTTCCTGTTAAGGGAAGGAGAGGGTAAAATTTACCAGTATTGTTGTGTATTTTTACCTCAAAAGGATAGAGAGATTCACGAACTGTCCGAGAAAGGCGCTCCTTTTGGGGAGGATATAGCTCAGGTTTTTCAAACCAGAGTATGATGTGGGTCAAGAACAAAACAAAAATGACACAAGAATTCAGGTTGTATTGAAATGTATGGATAAACCAAGCAAATAGAAGAATCTGTAATTGCTCCTCAGGTGAAAATTTGTACAAAAGGTAACAGATTCCAGCATATTCAAGAATTTCTCTTATTTTTACAAGAAGAATGAATTCATAGTCTTAAAGTTAATAAGAAGCCAATTAGATTCTAAAACGCGAACAAAAAAAAACACCTTATTCATCAGAGCAATAAAGCAGATTCAAAGAATAGAACTTTCTAGTTTAATAACCTAACAAAAGCTGCAAACAAAAAAGTTCCGAATTCCATTCCAGAAACCAAATTTGTTTAAGTAAAGATGAAAAAAAAAAGGTATACTGAACCCGGTTACCGATTAAATTCTATTTCAATAATGCAATTTTAAGGAAACAAGTAAAAGGATATTTCTTAGCTTCAACTGGGTGTTAGAATCCACGACTTCGATGGGTTTGATGTTCATGAGTGCCTTCTCTAGACCATATTCGATGAAGTGGTCGAATGAATGAATATGGTGGCTGAAAAGCTCCCTTAACGGTTCATAGTCGGGATTGTTGGGTAGGTGCGGCGTCATTCTATGCCTCCCTGAGACCCTTGCTACTGCTTCAGACTTCATGGTCCTTGCTCCTTAGTCCTCGTTATTCAACTGATGATACTGCAAATGCTTTACGGTGGGGAGGAAGAAGGGTTTTGTGTTTAGGGTTTTAAGAAGAAGTTTAGTTGGTTGTAGATTTTGAACGTTTGGACACTTTGTTCGTTTTTTAACATATTTTGGCACAAAAGTTTAGTGTATTGGCGTTTTAGGTCCCTTAAGCTGAATACATTCTATGCCAACTCATTTTTTATTAACAAAATGCAAAATTGGTCTAAATGGTTTACAAAAAAAAAAATTGTGTATAGGGTCTAAAAAGTTTTTGTAACTTGCATGGAAAATCCAAAATCAAGAATTTCCTGTGGTTTTGGTCCGGTCCATTTGGTCATTGATAAACTTGAAATGACAATTTTACCCTTTTCATTTCTTTTTTGTATTTTTTATATTATCCTAAATACTTTATTAAAACAAAATAAATAAATAAATAAAAACATTAGGTCTATCCACCTCACCCCCACCGATGATCTCTCTCTCTCTATCTATCTTTATCTCTCTCTCTCTCTCTCTCTCTCTCTCTCTCTCTCTTGTTCATCCTTCCAGTCTCAAAAGTTAAAACTTTATTTTCGGTACTGGCTCATCCATGACCAGCACCGACCCACCCCTACTCTCCTTAATCTGGAAGAACTATGAAAACACACACACAACTTTAAAGATAAACTCCATACACATATTAAGAGTAAATAGAACCAAGAAAAGACTATGCAAATCATGTAAACATTTCACTTGATTCTCAAAGCATGTAAGATTTTCATTCGGTTACAGATCCAAATTATAAATTCTCAAATCTTAGAACCAAATTGCTCCAAATTCTACATGATTCATTACAGTCAACGAAGCATAATTGTGAGAACCACTATTTCTCTAATACCTTTACAATATTATTACTCCAAACATGTTATATGCATATTCATAAACATATTTTACATATATGGTCTTATTACAAATGACAGGATACAAACCGACTAACGAGGTTTCTACAAAGTTTTATATATTACATAACTTCCCAGGAATTTATACACTAAATACAAAAGCTATAATATTATCTATTCTACATCTTCTACCAGTACATGACTATACCGGATGCTTATCACCTGCAATAGTTTAAACATTGAGAGGGATAAGCGGGTGACGCTTAGTGAGTTCAATAACAGTTACAATATAATGCTATGCCATATACATATCAATATGACAGAAGCAAAGAGGGACAAAGAACAACAAAGGCATATGTGTATCATATGACAGGCTTTCCATATCAACCAATAATCTGATTCAATGATTTACAATCACTGAGACATAACAATTTCAATTTGATATACATCAATAAAGCTTCAGCCCAAATGGCACAGAAAATACAATTTCGGATTATCATTTTGCTAGAATATACAGGCTTTCAGCCCTACATAGCCCTATGCCAATACCAGAAGTTATACGAGTCATGCTCTACATGGCCAAAGGCACAAAGTCAATACCAGAAGTTATACGAGTCATGCTCTACATGGCCAAAGGCATAAATCCGATACCAGAATAATACGAGACATGCTCTACATGGCCAAAGGCTCAAAGCCAATACCAGAAGTGATACGAGTCATGCTCTACATGATCAACAATATAAAACCAGAATAACTCAGGGAAGCACATTAAACATATAACACATAACATACAATTGTCCATATATTGAACTCACCGTGAAATAACCAAATGATAAAATGATAATTTGGGCAGCACTTCGTTTCTAAAAATGATTTTCTTTGTCGAAACCGGGGATTTTAGTTGAAAACCGGGCTTTGTGCGGGCAGAGTTTCAACTTGAAAAGAGTATTTTCTCGGGTCTTCGGAGCGTCGGGACTTGCTTCGGGTGTCGGGGATGTTTCGTAGGTTTCGGGGGGTGTTAGGGTAAATTGAGAGATGAAAGAGGATGTGAAAGTGTTAAAATTGTAAACAAAATTCGGAAGGTCTCGCTTTCTATTTATAGTGGTCTGAGGGTTCGCATTACGCTGGGCATAATCCTCCGGTACGCGGGACGTACTGCCTCGCAAACCTCTTCGTTGAGCGTACGAAGTGGATCAGCTCGGACGCGTCAAGGCTACGACACATGGCACTCATGTGAAGGAGTATGGAGGGTGACGGACTCCGGATCACTTACACGAGTACGTTGGGCGTACTTCGGTACGCTAGGCGTGCTCCTTCGGACCAACCTCGAAGTTTGTGCCCAAAACTTCAAAAATTCGTAACATTCGCATACGAACTCCATCTTTGACGTTCTTTATATCCACGCGTAGGTGAAATTATGCTCTACAACTTTCGTTTAGACTCCGTCGGCTAATTTTGACTTTATTTTTAAAGTTATATTTTTAACAGGCCGGGACAGGAAAAGTTCGTTAAAAATTCATAACTTTTTCATCCGACGTCCGTTTTCGTCTGTCTTTTTACCGTTGTACTGCTATTGACGAGATCTTTGATTCTCGTTTAGGTTGTGTCGGCTAAAAATCACTCGATCTTTATTTCGAGTTTCGGGCTGTGTACTGCTATGTCGAATCTTAGAAAAATCATAACTTCTTCATACGAAGTCAGATTTGGACGTTCTTTTTATGAGAATTCTCGGTTTAAAGGATACTACGACTTCCATTTAGATCACTAAAGCTAAAAAGTAGTTTATCGTAAACTCACTTTTTACGTCATATGGTGTCATGTCGGTTCTGTCACGAAACTTTAACGAGTCATAACTTCTTCGTTATAACTCGGATTTCGATGAGGTTTTCGCCTAAATGTTTCTAACGAGATAATCTGCAACTTTCAATAACATCATTTTTAATTATTTCCAACTTTATATTTTCGTTAATTTCAATAGTTGACTTTTGATTGGAATATCATAAGACTTCCCATCACTTTTCTGAATGATTCTAAACATAGTTTTACTTCAATCTCATAAACTATCTTGTTAGAACTCAACACTCAAAATCATATATTATTTAATAATATTCATTTTTAAACAAAACACGATAACTGAACGTGTATGTTACAATAATATTCACTATCTACCTCATAGTTCTATTAACCTCTGAATCCATACAAAGTTCTTCCCTGCCTCTTCAAAGCATACACAACATCCATGGTCGTTACAGTCTTCCTACGAGCATGTTCAGTGTAGGTAACAACATCCCTGAGAACTTTCCGACGACGCTTTGTTCCTCTCTTTCCTAGCCCTTTTCCATCGTGTTCATGGACGAGTTACACAACATCACCCAAAGCTTTATCCAACATTACCCAACATACATGTCTCTTTTACTTTTCCTTTATCTCTCGTATCTGTTTACATATCTCTCACATCATGCCTTCATATGCTCTCTTTTATATGTTGAATTGGTTGCTCGAGATAGGATGTATTTAGATTTATTCATGAACTAACAAAAATGGGGAAAAGAACAGTGCACTGGAAGTACTCGATGAAATGCTTGAGAGAATAATTACTTCACATACCAAGATCATAGAAGTTGGTTCAGGTTCAAACTTCATCAAATCCAAATGTAACTGTAGCACCCATTTTCCAGAACGGATCAGTTAAAGAATTAATGGAATCTAAGATATGGTTGTTAGGGAAAACCACATGTCACGACGTGGAGGGTTGATGGTCACGACGTGGCATGTCAACTTAATGGAGATCGTGTCAGGATTGGTTGCCATGACGTGGCAAGTGGATGGTGTGACATCCCCATTTTTACTGTAATTTTCAAACTTTTTGTTTATGTTTATTTAAAACATTTGTTGTTGCGTAATTGGTCCTAGAATATCCTTAACAATATATAATATCATAATCAAGGCATTTCAGAAGATGTTATATATTTTTTTAAAAGACTGGGATGTCATAACTGATACAAGAAACATAAGCGTAAACGGAGACTTACAATGTCTTAACATACTAACGGTCTATATCTCCTTGAATCTCCCTGTGAATACATACATCATTATCCAAGTATCTTTATTTAATAACATGTGATTCAAATAAACTGAGAGGGTCAGGTTGGGAAACCTGGTGAGTACATAAGGTTTTCAACCCATAATAATATATTATATTTAATCACCAAACAGTTAACCCGAATACCCATTCGCGTTATTCTCACTTCCTAATCTTTTAATTAGTGATCTCGAGGGATCTTTCCTAAAGGATCTATATATCAACAGTGGTATTCATCTATTTCTCCTAAAAAATCTAGGCACAATAGTACAATGGTACTTTGGGCAATCACAACAGTACGATAGTACTTTGGTCACAACACAACATTTTAGCACAACAACACAGCAGGTAACAACTTATTATTTGGCACAACACTTTTCTAACTAATGTTTTTCCTAAATGACTAGGCACAACAGTACAATAGTACTTTGGATAGACATGACATTACAATAATGCTTTGGACAGATACGACAGTATAATAGTACTTTTGGATAAACATGGCAAGTCACAACTTATTTGTTTCACACAACTCTTACTAACCTATCACAACCATTATTACAACATGTCATTTATTATTTTACACAACGCATTACTACCTAATCATGTTATTAAGTATGACATACAATTAGATCAAGTAACAATCATGTCATATTGTACATATATATTAGTCACAACAAAAACAACACACATAACATTTAAGCATATAGTAACGTTTGGTCCAGGTATTATTTCATTTCTCAACATTAGGGTTTTTGTGAGAACTCGACGAGTTGGGGACTTAAACCCTTTTTGTTGGCCTCCTTACCAGCCTCCCTGTCCAGGAAACCCTAGATTCGTGTTTCATCTTGCAAGCTTATGTGTGGTGATCTTAGAGAGTGGTTTTTGGTGATTCTTAAAAGGAGCTTGGAAGAGGGAAGCATCTAGCTTGGAGGAAGGACCTTAGATCCAGAAACTCTTCTTCAAAGGCAACATTTTTGAGGTATAAATTTGTCACCTTGTCATGTATTCATCTA